CGAGATTTTAGTCGTTTTGTACGCGGATCACGTGAGATTTCACCCGTGTCGTCCCTATATAGAGAGTCTACCGATTCTCTGATTATTGTGCACGGGAATTTAATTATTCAAGGTTGAATACACCTGGATCATTCGTACACACAACTAACCCCTTTCATTGGACTCCATGACGCACACAACCCCAGCGTCCTCAATGTGATCACAAACAATGTTTTCCCCGTTGGTTCTGTGAGGACACCTAGTGATGCTGGTCTCATTTCCACTGCAGTGTACTTCACTCATGAGAATAGAAGCCAACTCTTCTCCGGGACCAAACGAATCCACTTCAGTCACTGCTATGTGGCCTACATAACAAAATACACAGGCACTTGTTATCTATAATAGTGGCACTTGATGGTCAAGCTTAGTTGTTGTGTGCCAAACAATTTGAACGAAACAGCAGAATAATGTTTCTAATTGGCAACAAAATGGCGGTGCCAAGTACTACATGTTGATCGTTGGTCCCTAATACGCACCAGTTGCATTGAAACCTAATGCTCTGCACACAACCCTGGCATCTTCACTGCTCCATTCGTCATTACAAATAGTGCCCCAGAGTCCAATGCTCGAGCAGATCTCCACTCTGCCCCTTCCCTGAGCTGTTGACACTTCACTGCCAGTCACCAGTTGGACATTTCCTTCATTAGTACATTCCTTTTGGTCTTCTGGTACTGAGATTATGTAAGAAATTGACTGTAATTGCTCTTTCATAACTCCTGACTGTGATATATACAAACCTTGACATGTCACCTCTCCCACTTTTGAGCAGACAAAGCTGTACTGATCTCTTGCGATACACTCAGTCAAATTAGCCTCAGATCCATATTACACGTGTAGGTAATATGTCTCTCGGTTTCAGTCACATTGTTTGGTACACCACGAACCAACACATCTAAGGACATAAGTGCTCTATATGATGATGAGACACGTTATTGAATTACACACATAGCTAACTAGGGGTGTGTAAATTGTGTCCAATCGAGTTGATCATGCATACTGCTAGCCAAGACTTTACCTGTTGTAGAGTAGTTGAGATATCTGCATACCACTTGACCATGTTTCATGTTCCAATCACTGCCAAGAGAACCGATACAGATATGCTTCCACTCTCCGTTCACGCAGACTCTGACTTTCCCTTCATACGTGTTTCTTCCTCCCTCCAGCTTCACGTTTCCGTCTTGATCACATCCAACATCTTGTCATGGACAACAACAGTAGCTAAATTTGCTGGTTGCCTCCCTACCAAAAAACTATGTAGCTAGAGCTAGCTATGCGCTGTGTGACCTGGCGAGGTAAAATTCACGCTCTCAGACGGCGCTAGCTACTACTTAGCTAGAGAGGCTGTTAACAAGCTAATTCTGACCTTGATTCTCTGAAGATGTTTCTCTCCGTTGCTTGAGTACAAATCCTTCGCTACTCAGTGCACTGATCATTAGCACTACTAGACAAGCTACTGCTAACCTACGACTCATCTTTTAACAAATTCACCAGAAAAACTGCACAAAGTTGCAGCGCGATGACAGAAATCATGCAGTTATGTGTATGTGTCTCGTGCGGGGGCGGAGGCAACTAGCCCCGCCTATTTTCTCCACCAAAACAAGCCGACCGATGGAGCTGTACGTCTGGCTGCTTACAGTCTTCGCTGCCTTCGGCGGCTTTATGTTCGGATACGACATCGGGTTAGCTCACATCCGTACATACGTACAACTGCTGATTTATCAGCTAGCTATCTACTTCCTGCACAGTGTAATAAACGGTGTCAAAGATACTGCCGGATTTCGAGAAACGTTTCTGAACGAGTCTAAACACTCTGGTAACGGTTCAAGGGAAGAGAGTGTCAGAGAGAGCACGTTACTGGTAAACACACCTCCACACACTGTACGCTAAACTCATGGAGCATCCCACGGCCATGCTCTGTTAGGTAAGTTGTAGCCATAATTCTTTCCGCTGTAGGGCTTGGTGGTCTCAACATTCTCAATTGGTTGTCTCGTGGGAGCTCTCCTGGCTGCAGGTGAGGTTAATAACAGTAGACAAACAATTCGCATCTCTGAGTGGGAGCTCCTGCCTAAACTAATGAAAAGCACTGAAGTGCAAACCCTCGGCGCATTGTGACGCGCACGCGTAAGTAAACGCATGCGCCGTACCACTAATTGATGGGCTGGGTTTAGTTTTAGCTGTTACTCGTGGTCTCTTCCCAGCTCGCGCAGAGTCTGACGCGGGCTAACTACACTACTAGATAGCATGCGAGAGGCGATACACGCCCTGCGTTGCATCTTCTGGTGCCTCTGAGGTACGCAGAGCACGCGGATCGATCAGACCGTGGTAAGCCGTCCCGTCCGTTGCCTATTTGCATATTAGCTTTTTCGCGCTCTAGCTCTGCAACGGAGCAGTTTCAGAGAAAACCCCACATATTTTATGACCTTCATTGCCCGTTCAGTAGGTGGTATCCTTGTGAGACGAACGAACACTCGAGAAGTGAGATGACGAGTACAGACAGCACCACACCCCCACCCAGACAACAACCCAACTATGTACCTTCGCTGCGCTGTAGCCGAGGTTTAACCAATATGTGGAGGATTTTCCAATGTTGTAATAGTGATACCCACCTCTTGCCTGTGTTAAATAGCTATATACACTCACACTCTTCTCCTCTTACTTCAAATAAAAGACACTTCTATGCATTAACCCGGTGCTAATAGTATAATATCGTAACATACAAAATTTCATCGTCCTAAGTGTGTCCTCTATTATGTCAACCAACCAGGACTATCAGAAGTGTTGGGAAGAAAGAGGGCAATCATAGTTGGTGGTGTGGTCTTCACTGGAGGAGGGGCAGTTCAGGCTGGCTCTCTCTTCATCTGGTGAGAACTCACTCACTATTGTATTCACACAGACAAGCGACTACGTTATGATACTTCGTATTATGTTCATACACAATAATGAGTATATACACACAAGTTTTTATTTCAAACACAGTGTCAAAAATGCTCAAAACATTCATTTTGGTGTAAAAACACGTTCTATACAACCTACCTATTCTACCCTAGGATGATGATTTTAGGGAGGATTGTGGCAGGAGTAGGTGTGGGGTAAGTTTTGATGTTGTATTGAGTTTCATTTACAGACGATGTCATTATTAACACTGCCATGTGATATCCGGTAGACAGTATAATGAATCCGCCCAGTGTTACAAGGGGTCTCGGATTGAACTCTACGTGACTTGTTTGGAGGAACTAAACCATAATAATAGGAAAGTAGGGGGGGGGCAGAGTTCCTGTTCCTAGTATGGCAGACCGTGTAGTATGACAGACTGTGACCTGGAAAGAGGCTATATACGTACCAGCCAGGGAGACGGAATCTGGCAGTGTTAGGCAACAGGGGAGGTGGGAGGGGACACACAGAATTCCTTGTAACAATTTGTACCCAGCCAGTGCACGTACTGCCATTATACAGTGTGGGCAAAGCCAAGGCCACGTTTTGTCTGAGTCTTGACGTACACGTAATCTCGACAGAGTGTCTACTGCCGGCATCATACACACACACTTACTTCACTTTGCGGTGCATGTATGATTTGTAGCAAATGTTTCGTGAGTGTCCACTCTACTACATCTATATACGTACGTTGTACGTGGGACAAAGGTGCCCACCAACAAGTGTTTTACACAATCGTGGGCATCCAGAAACTTTTGTATGTCACCCACAGGACCAATGCAGTTTTACCTTAATCAATCCCTGAATCCCATACAATATATCATCCCATCCCCTATTCGCAAATTAACACTAACCGCCCACCACTCGCCTAGCCCCAGTCCGCCCCTCCCACAAACCATTACTTAATAACAGCTCTTCTCCACTTTCTTCCACTCGCTTTCCCTTTCCCCCTTCTCTGATTTGTTTTGACTTTTCCTGTTCCTCCCTTCGTCTTTTCTTTCTACAACCGTGTCGCGCTTACCTCCTCTCAGTATACTGAGTCGGGTGGGGTCCCCATTTAACAACGCGGGACTTGGGGCCCCCATCACCCAACAGATGTTGAGGGGGCGGTTGGTGTGTCGCTCAATGCGCTCAACCAGCTGGCCATTACGAGGTCGGGATCCGGTCGCTTCCTGGTGGATCTCCTGGCGGCCATGTACTACTCTTGACACTACTCTGGTTCTGTGAGCGGTGTCCCCTTCTCCCTTCTTTCCTTCCTTCTGTCCTGCTCCTCTCCTTTCCTTTCCCTCTCTCCCTCTCCCCTACTCCTCTCTCCTCTTATCTTTCCTCTCACTCTTCTGGCTTTTTCATAAAGGAGGAATAGGGAAAGAGGAGTGAGGAAGGGGAGGAAATTGTCACTACTCTGGCTTGACTGAAGAATGGTGCGAGGAGGATGGAATATGGATATGGAGGGTAAATTTATGACTGACTTATAATAATCATTAGTAAATCCCCCTTTCTTAAATTGTTTCTTCCTCTGTCTTTCCCCTTCCTTCCACTTATCCTCCCCTCCTTCCTTTCATCCTCCCTCCCTTCCTTCCTTCCTCGTTTCCCATCTTCTTCTTCCTTTCCCTCTTTTCCCCCTCCTCTTCCTCCTTCCTCTTTTTCCCTTCTCCCCTCTTTCCTCTTCCTCTCTCCCCCCTTCCACTTCTTTCCCTCCCTTTCTTCGTCCTACTCCTTGTTCCTTTCCTTTCGTCCTCTTGCTTTCTTTCTTCCTGTTTGTCTCCGTTTCCCCCTTCTCGTTTCCTCCCCTTTCCTGGTTTTTTTGTTGGCTTGTCCTTCCTCTTGGTTTTTTTTTTGTCGTCTCCTTCTTCCTGCTGTTCTCTCTTCCTCTTTTTTCTCTTCTCCTTCCACTTCCTCTTTTTTTCCCTTTTCTCCTTACCCTTTTCTCCTTTCTTCCTTCCCCTTTTTCCTTTTCCTTTTCCTTACCCGTCTTGCTTTTTGTTTCCTCTCTCTCCCTCTTCTTTTTCTCTCCCCCTTCTTCTTTTCGTTTTTTTCCTCATTCGCTTCCCGCCGTCCCCACCCCTCCCTATTTCGTTTGCCTTCTTTTCCCGCTTCCTTTATTCCCCTCTTTCTGTCTCTCCTCCCCCTGCGAACCTTCCCTTTCTGTTCTGTCCACAGTCTTACTCCTGCACTCCGTCGATGCGCCGCTCCTGTCTCGCTTTTCTCGCCCTCTTTCTCTTTTCCCCTCTCCTCCTCCTCCTCATCTCCGTCTCTTCCCCCTTTGTTTGCTCTTCGTTCACCTTTTTCCCTTCCTTTTTCTTCGGCTCTTCTCTACCCCTTCTCTCCCAGTTTTATTACGCTTTTCTTCCTCAATCCTTCTTCTTCTCTTTCCCCCGCTTCTCTCTTCCCTCCCTCCTTCCTTCTTTCCCTTTTCTTCTGTTTCTCTTCTTCACCTTCCTCTTCTTTCTCTTGTTTTCTTTCTTGTTCTTTCCCCCCGTTCCTCTTTCTCTTTCCCTTCCTCTCCCTTCCTGTTCCCTTCCTGTTCCTTCCTCCTCGTTCCTCTCTTTCCCTCCCCCCCGCTCTTTGGTCTCCTTCTCCCTCTTTCCCTTTTCTTTCCTCTTGTCTCTTCATTTCCCTCTTTCTTCTCTTTTCCCTTCCCCTCTTGTCTCTTCCTTCTTCTTTCCTTTCTTCCCTCCTTCCCTCCCCCTTCTACGTCCTTTCCCTTTTCCCTTTTCCCCTCTCCTCCCCGTTCTTTTTCCCCTGTCGCCCCTTCCTCTTTCTCCTCCTTTCTCTTCTTTTCCCCTTCTTCTCCTGCTCTCCTCTATCCTCTTTCTTCCCCCCCTCCCTTCTTTCTCCCTTGTTTCTTGTTCCTTCTGCCTCCTCTGCTTCTTCCTTTCTTTCTCTTTCTTCCGCCCTTTTTCCCTTCCTTTCCTTCCCTCCTTCCTTCCTTCTGGCTTTCTTCTTTCTTTCGCCGCGCTTTCTTTTCTTCGTTTCTTCTCCCCTTCCTACTCTCTTTCTATCGCTTCTGGCTGGAGGGGGATGGAGAGAGGAGAGTCTACCTGGCGGGAAGGACATTTGGACGGAAGGGGGGGTTGGCAGGAGAGTAGGGCATCGCCTGAGTTGCTCGGGTTTGCTCGGTGCTATGTCGGGTCCCCTTCTCGACTCCTTTCTTTTCCTCTTTTCCCTCTCCTGCCCCCTCTTCCTTCCCTTCCCTACCCTCTTTCTCCTTTCGCCTCTCCCTTTTCCTCTTTCTTTCGCTTCCTCTGCTTTCTGCTTCGCCGCTTCTTTGTCTTCTTTCTTTCTTTCCCTTCCTCCTCCCCCTTCCTTTCCTTTTCTTTTCCCTCCTCCTCCTCCTCTTTCTTTCCTTCCCCCTTTCCCTTATCACTCTTTCCCCTTCTCCGCTTCCTTTCCCTCCCTTTTCTTCCTCCCTTTCGCCCTTTCTCTCCCCTTCCCCCTCTTTCTCCCTTCCACTTCGTTCTCTTCTCTATTCTCTTCTCTCTTCTTTTCTCTCCTCTCTCCCTTCTTTCTTCGTCGCTTTCTCTTTCTTTTTTTTTCTTTCCTTCTCATCTTCCTTTCCTCCCTTTCTTTTTGTCGTCCTCTCTCTTTTTCTCTCCTTCCCCCTTTCTGTTCTTCTGTTCCTCTTGCTTTCTTGCGCTTTTTCCTCCCGCCTTCGCTCCCCTTTGTCTTCCCATACTCTCCTCATTCTTCGCACCCATCCTCTTTCTCCCCCCCCCTTCCTCCCCCCTCTGGCTTTCTCCCTTTGTCCCACCCGCGGGGCCCCATTCAGTCTCCTTGGATCCTTCTCTTTTCTTGCCTGCCCCGTCCTCTTCTTTCCCTTCCCTCCTCCCTCATCCGTCTTCTTTCTCTTTCTTTCGCTTACTCTTCCTCCCCTTGCTCCCTTATTTCTCCTTTCCTCCTTCTCACTTCTTCCTCTTGACCTCCCGCCCTCCCCCCTCTTTCCCCTCCTATACACTTTTTCTTCCTTCCTCCTGATTCTTCGCCAATTCCTTCGCGCTTTTCATGCGTAGTACTTTCCCCTTCTTCTCTCCCCCTCCCTTCCTTTCCTCCCCCCCTCTTCGTGTCTTTTGCTCCCCTCTGCTTTCCTTTCCATTATTCCTCCCGCACCTGTCTCCACAGTCTTCCCCTCCGTTTCGCTTCATCATCCACGCCTTACCCCTTCCCAGCGGAAATCCCGACTTTTTAAGCTTCTGTCCCTTTTTCCTTTCGCTCCTGTTTTCCCTCCTCTTCCTCTTCTCCGTCTCCTTCATCTTTTTTATCTCCTTCTTCCTTTCCCCCCTTCTTTCTTTTCCTTCTCCTTCTTCTTCCTCTTTCGGTCTGCCTCCCTCCCTTCTCCTCTTTCTTTCTTCCTCTGTTCCGTTTCTCCCTTTTCCCTGCACCCCCTCTCCCCGTTTGGCCTCCGCCTTCTCTTCTTTCTCTCCTTCCTCTTGCCCTTCTTCTCTCTTCCTTTTCTCTTTTCTTCCCCTTTCTATCTGCTCCCTTCTCTCCCTTCCTTCTTTCCTTTCTTCTTCCATTATCCGTTTTCCTCCTCTCTTTCCCCTTCCTCCGATCTTTTCTCCTTCTCCATCTTCGCTTCCCTTCCTCCCCCCGGTCTTCCCCCTCTTTTCTCTCTTTTCTTTCTTCCGTTCTCCTCTTCGTTTCCTTTCTTTCCTCGTCGCCCTTTCCTCGTTCGCTCTTCTCGTTCCTCTCCACCCTCTCTTTCACCCCCTCCTTTCTTTCTCCCCTTCTCTCTCTTTTCATGTCTCCTTCCCTCTCTCTCCTCCCTTCGGTTCTTCCTCACTCTTTGTGTTCCTCTTTCCCTCTGCCGCCTCCCATTCTTTCCTACGTTCCCTACCTCTCTTGCCCCCGTCTTGTTCCCTCTTCATTCCGGTGTGAGTTTTCTCTTTTGTCCTTTCCTTCCTTCTTCTTACCTCTCCACCCCTCCCGCTTTCCCTCGTCTTTAAGGACGTCCCGCCCTATTCTCTTCTCCGCCCTCGTTCTCTACTCTTTTTTTCTTTTCTTTCCTGCCCTCCTTCCGCCCCTTTCCTCTTCCCCCCCCTTCTTCCCCTTCTCTCCCCTTCGCTCTTTTCTTCGTCTTTCCCCTCCCCACTCTCCTCTTCGCTCCCTCTTTCTTTCCTTTTTTCCGTTCCTTCCCCTTCCCATCCCTCCTTCCCTCTATTTGTCCCCTTTCTTTTTCCGCACGTCTCTTTCCTCCTCCCTTTCTCCCCTTTTTTCTCGCCTCCCCCTCTTTTTCCTCCCCCTTCTCTCTCTCCCCCCCCCCGTGCTTTTCCCTTTTCATTTCCCTTTCTCCCTCTCCTCCTGCCTCGTCCGTCTTTCCCTTCTTCCTCCTCTCCCCCATCTTCCTCTTCTTCCCTTCACCCCGTCCTTCCCTTTCCCTCCCTCTCCCTTCCTCTTTCTTTCCCTCGCTTCCCTCCCCCCCCGACCCCCTCCCTCCCTTTTTTTCATTCCTTCTCCCTCTTCCCTGGCTCTCCCTCTATTCCTTGTCTTCCCTCCTTCGCACTCTTTCCCACGTCCTTGCCTTTACCTCCTTCCGCCGCCTTCGCCTTTTTTGCTTACTTCTTCCTTCCAGCTTCCTTTCTGTCCACTCCCTTCCGTTTCCCCCCCCCCCCTTCCCCCCCCCTCCCCACCCACTCTTCTTTCTTCCGCACCTCCACCCCTTCTCCTTCTCTCCCCTCTCCTCCTCGTCCTCTTTCTTTCCTTTTCACTCGTCCCTCCCCCCTCCCTCTTTCTTCTCTTGCCTCTTCTTCTTCGATCCTACGCCTCCTCTTTCACCTCCTTCCTTGCCCCTCTCCAGTCCCCCCGGCCTTCCCTTACCTGGTTCTCGCCTCCCTTTCTTCCCTCCCTCTTTCTCCCCCCGTCCCTCTTGTCCCCCCCCCCCTTCCCCCTCTCCGTCTCCCTCCGCCTCGCCCCCTTTTTCATTCGTCCCACGCCTTTCCTCCGTTCCCCTTACCCCCGCACTCTCCTTTCATTTCCTTCCCTCCCCCCTTTCCCCTCCTCTCTTTCTCTCTTCTTTCTTCCCCCCGTTCCTTTCTGCCTTTCCATCTCCTTCCCCCCTCCCACTTGCGATTTCTTCCCCCCCGTTCCCTTCCTCTCCTCCTGTATCCCTTTTTTCCTTTTGTTGTTGTTCCTTTCTGTTTTCTCCCCTTCCTTTTTTTCGAATCTTTTTTTTTTCCCCCTCGTTCTTTTCCTTCCATCTTGTCTTTGCTTTTTGATTTTCTTTCCTTCCTTTTTTCTTTCCTCCGTGCAAAGGGAGAGGAGTGGGGGAGGCGCTGGGTGGGCGGTTCGATTTGTTCTCTCTTTTGGCCTTCGTTCTCTTTGGCCTTCGTCTTCATCTTCATACACCTCTGTGGATGTGTATTTCTCTATTTTTTTTTCTCTCGCCCCGTACTGACTTTTCCTACCGGTAAGCGTCCGCCATTTTTTTTCACTACCACGTACTTGATTCGAGAAGGAGCCCTGGTTAATAGTTTATTGGCATCTCCCTTCTTCGCAATCATAAACCCTGTTTCATTTTACACACTCAACGCTCGTCCACACTTGTACATCCTTACGATCATCTTCACAATGCCAGCGCAGCCCCTCCCTGACTTCTGTACCTACTTCATTCTCTATATCTCCTGCCCTCGCCCTACACACTTCATCTCTTCTCTCTTTGCAACTCCCCATCTATCATTTCTGTCTTCTAAAAATTCATGCACTAAAATTCTCATGTTCTGGCCATTTTGTACCAACAAATACTTTTTTATACTTGACTTTCTTTTAAACATTTACTAGCTTTACACTTACTTGGCCTACTACACTCCTGCCCTGCTATACTCCTTTTTTTTCACTTCCTTACTCCTTTCCGTACTCTTTGTCTCCGACTGTACCTTTCCGCTTTTCCCACCACGATTGCCCCCCTTCCTCTTAGGTCTTTCTACCCCTTTCCCTTAGTGTTATCACCCGGAGCCTCCTTAGGATTTGCCGAGCGCTCCCGGTCAATTGGGCGTTCCCTCTGGTATACCGGAACCCCTCTGCATCCGGTTCAATTTGAACATCCCTTTTAATCGCCTCGGGCCCAACCCCTTCCGCCCCCGCCCCCGCTCCCCCCGCCTCCCCGTCTTGGCCCCTCATTTTTGCATCACCCCAACCCCCAGTCCGACCCCCCCTACTTTTCCACGTTATAGTTAAACGGGGTGGGACTGACTCTTACTTAACGAATACTTGACGAACCCCTTTCCACTTTCACCGTACGCCTTTCCTCCTCTTCCTGCAACTCCTCGTTACGGTGACTGTTCTTGATACCAGTTCTGCTCTTGCTCTTTTTTGTAAATATGTTATTTTCTCTTTTTGAGTCTATGTTCCATTCCCTCCCCACCAGTCCCTCCTCAGCCCTGGCTGAACATTGATCATGTCCTTGCTCATTCGTACAACAATAATAATATGAACTTTCGTTTCCTCTGGTCTTCTCTGCGTGTGTCTGCGCCCTTCGGATCCTCCTGGGGCCCTTATTATTTGAACCACACCCTACCCAACTGTCTCCTATTCTCCTGCACCGCGGGTTCCCCGTACCCCCACTTCCTGTCGCTCAGTACTCGTCTCCTTCTCCCCGGGGCCACTCCTGCCCTCTCCTTCAGTCCCTCATCCCTCCCTTTCTTGCATGACTTATGGAAGCTCCTGCTGTTTGCATCATATAACTACCTTGTAATCACCGAAACGCTGTGTGCTGTCAAAATAAAAAAAGTGGTTAAATGGGATCACATCAAAACATGGAATTTCGTGCGTAACTATCCCTAAAACTACTCCTCCAAAATCATGCCAGCCCCCCCTCTCTCCCCCCTCCTCCCGTCTCACCCCTCTCCCGTTTCCCCTTTTCCCCTTTCCTCCCGTTTTTCAAAGTCAACTAAAGAAATGCATGTGGCATAATACGAGTATATAAATAAAACTATAAAAACCATTAATACTTATTGTTTCAATACTACAAATATCCACTCCTCAATCACCTCGGTCCCCCCTCTCCCTAGCATCCTCTTCATTATAGAGAGCCACTTTTAACACGTAACCTCTGAAGGTGGCCACTGTTCGTATTACGTAACCTCTAAAGGTGGCTGGTGAAGAAGCAGAGGAACGAAGAGGCAGCGAGGACACTGATGAGGCTCCGAGGGGCCGGGAACATGAGAGAGGTGGTCCCCGAGCTGACAGACATCAAGACTTCGCTCAAAACCAAGTCCTCTCTTAGCAGGACGCAGACTTGTAGACTTCTCTTTACTTGGAGGATCATGCAGAGGTGTGGCGGGCCAGAGGGTTACGTATATATGTATCTGATTTCTACTTATTTTACACCAGAATTCTTATCGGAGTGTTTTTGCAGTTATTTCAGCAGTTTACTGGAATGAATGTTATCATGTAAGTTGGACATGCAGTGTGTATTAGCTATCACCTGAACATCATAGTTTTCATGATGTAATTGTGATGTAATCCAAGCCCCTCCCCCTAAAGTCCCACATCTCTCCAGGTACTACTCCACGTCCATATTCAAGAGGATAGGAGTGGCCAGCTACATATCGACATCAGTGGTCGGGGCACTCAACTTTCTGACCACCATTCTATCCATTGTCCTAGTCGACAAGGTTTGACTATACATAATCCCATTCCAGAACAATCTTCATAATTATTATGAGCATGGCGAAAGGGTAAACAGCACTGAATCATGATTGTATACAGATCAGGCGTAGGACACAAAGGACCCCCCCAATGTTTGCTAGCTCTATTACAACCATTAGTACAGACAATCCATTTTTCGTTTGTGGTGCTTGTTAGCATGCTGCCTCTGGTTACGCAGCATGAGGGTTGCATGGAAATCCCCACCCCATTTCCAAATTTCTATATATATATACACCACCCCATTTCCAAATTTCTACACCACCCCATTTCCACTACACCTGCCACTGTTAATGTTACATAGTATAGCTCGACCTGTCTCAAACCACTATTATGAGTGTGCCTTCAATACATTCTTTATCCAATTATCATACAGAGGGAGCACCGTCTCATTTCTAAAGACTGGGGATTCCATAGTATATACAGCAAGTGGTGGTGTGTTCTTTCTTAATTAGTTCCTTTTCTTTCTGGCTTGCTTTGTTTGGTTTCTTACGATGTGTGCTAAAATTCATAGAGTGCAGGTTTTTTATTGTAGAATTTCATAGTAATGGTGTGTGTTATTTAGAGGTGTCTTTTATGTTACTACAGGTTGGACGTAAGGCTCTACTGCTGCTAGGAGGCCTGGGAATGATTCTGTCAATGACAGGGGCTGCCACAGTCTTACTGGTGTTCAGAGTGGAAGAGGAGGAAGGGGGAGGGAGTGTGGCGGGTTACGTGACTGTCACCCTCATCTGTTTCTTTGTCTTCAACTTTGCATACGGATGGGGGTACGTTTAATCCCTCTAATCCAGACACCACTGGGACAGAAGAAAGTGCCAATTAATATTATAGCGAGGTGTCCTTGTTTCTGGGGTTCAATTGGGCACATGATCTTGGTTAGTTTGAGAGGTTTCAGGGCAAGGATGTCCTTAGAGAGGGGGTTCCACTGTACTGGTTCTCTCTCTCTACCTTCTCTGTTATCCCAACTGATTTATTGTTCCGCAGGCCAGTTGCATGGGTGGTGACAAGTGAGATATACCCCCTGAAAATCAGAGGTAAGTGTAAATACCAAATAGTGGGAATCGTATGAAAAACTGTTTTTGACATTAACCACCAACTTGGTGTGATTTCATTCACACGTAGTGTATGTACATGCAATTAGACGACCAACTTGCACAAAACTCAAACAGTAAAAATATTTGCAATTAGACGACCAATTTGCACAAAACTCAAACAGTAAAAATATTCTCGTGTTGTGCAAGGTGTTGCAGTGTCCATCACGACTGCTGCAAACTGGACAGGAAACTTTATCATTGCACTGGTCACTCCGATCCTTCTGAACTCTGTACTCCGCACATTTGGCACTTTCTACCTCCTCGCCGGTCTCCTGCTTCTGGCTACCCTCTTTGTCCTTCTCTGCCTACCAGAGACCAAGGTACATAATTTTATCACTGCCTCAAACTCAATAGTTTTATCTACGGGAATTAGTGGAGCATTTGTGGGCTACAATATGGAGGAAAATAGTGGCTGGGGCCAAGGTATACTAAATGACTAATAGCCCCATGCATCTAAGATGCTACCATAATACGCCCATCCCTATACACTAAGTACTACTGTGATCAGAGCCCCCATCTCAATTTTATGGAATTCTAACAGCCATAATCGGAAAATACGGAGAAGGCCAGTGCTTGACACTACAACAAACAACGGGGTACACATGCACTCGATATGCAGGTTACGTAAAATACCGAACTTTGCTGCCTTTGCAAGGTTGGCGGGGGGGCATGGAATGTATGTACTGTAACTGAGAAATTACCACCGTCAATACTTTGCGCAAGCAAACTTTAAACCGGCACACTAATGTTGGCTAACTTTGGTGGTAACCATACGGCTCAGAATTGCCGAATGTGTGTGTTGCTTCTGCACATGATGCAGCTACTAACAGCTGTTGTAGTACGTCTTCAGTAAGCATACTTGAAATTCCACCAGTAAATGATCCATGACAGTTAGCATGTCAGTTTGTACGTGAAATTGCATGAAATGAGTAATATTTGAGTGTCAAATTGTCTAATAATGATTGCTAACTGCTATATTTGGGCATAATCATAATTACGCATGTGGCCGGTCAGGATAAGGGTGTCAATTTCACAAGGGGATTGACGGAAATTTGTGCACTTTCGATGGCATAGACCCAATACATACGACATTCGTCTCATATCGTCTAAAGACTTTCAGCTAGTAATGTATTGAGGGATGACATGGGTTTTGTCAATTGTACCATTCCAGGGAGAGAGTCTGGAAAGGATTGACAAACTCTTCTCAAAACCCTGGCTGGAAAGAATTGATCTATTCTACTACTTGAGGTACACACATACACTGAAAAGTACTGTATATACTCAAAACATCTTTAGCATAATCATCGTATTACCCTCGGCGCGCATGCGCAGCGAGGGTACTGTAGTTGGGGGTTTGTCTGTCTGTCTGTGTGTCTGTTACTCTCAATCTCACTTCTCGGGTGTCTGTTCGTCCCAGAAGCGATACCATCTACCCAACGGGCGACGAGGGTTAGAAAAATGTGGGGTTTTCTCTGAAAATGATCCGTTGCAGAGCTAGAGCGCTTCCAGCATTGTATGGCTAATGCCGGTAGTCGCCATTTTATCACTGGCGGATAATGCGCATGCGCTTATATTTAGCGCAGGTACCTCGACCGGGTTCGCTTGCTCTGTCTATCTTGAAGGCACAAGAAGTCACAACGAATGGCGTGTATCGACTCTCGCGTGCTATCTACTACTGTAGCTAGCCCGTGTAAGACTCACTTCGCCGAGGGTTTGCATTGCACTGCGTCCGTAGATGTCTGTCTGGAGAGATGAAGGGCTGGGCGTTTAAAAAGTTTTTTTTTGCACTAAACAATCCACGGTAATATGAAAATTAATAGAGAGATGAAAGGTTGGCAATTTTTCAACCTTATATATATTTTTGGCCTCAAACAGAAATGGGGCTGGCCATTTTTCAACCTATATATCCATCATAGCATGCTGTTCTTTGTCAAGACCATCAATTGTGGTGGTGCCACACTTGTGTATGGGTTCCACAGTGTGCCGAGGGTTTGCACTTTAGTGCTTTTCATTAGTGCAGTTTTTCCTTTAAGCCTCATTACATACAATTTCACACACAGACTTGGGTGTCCGTGGGGAGTGAGAAGACGGCGCAGTTACAGTGTGACTAGTGGGAATCAACTACAGGAGAGGTGGGTGTAATATGACATAAGAACTACTCTACAACACGCAAGTGGATCACCTATCAAACAATTAAGTACATAGCACAGAATGCACTAATTGGTAAAGTGAGGCAAAATGAAGAAAGTGGACAATTTGTATGTGACGTATTAGTTGTCTGGTACAATACACAGTGGAATAAAGGACACGCTGGAACCACGAAAACTACAGTGTCCTGTAATACACGAAAAGTATTATAATTATAGCATCGCATCAAAAAAAGTGTCCTTTATAGAGAGGTGTCCTTTATTCAGAGTGTCCATTAAAAAAGATGTTCAACTGTATTGGTAAGATGAGTACAAAATGGTGTCTGGTATATACAGGGATGGTGACAGGAGGGTTCTGCTGCAGGAAGAGATGGGTCCAGAGAACGGAGCTGAACTGGAGACCGTAGAGGCCACGTTTGTCGTGGAGACACCCAGTCCCACTGGGTACTCTATATCTTCACTCAATGAATCCAACAACTGAACCATATTTTTTGTTATATTGTGTGTCAATGTATTTTATCTGTCATGATGGAGCTTGTGTAACAGTTCCTTACACCAGTCAAGAATGATTACAGTATGACCTCGCTAATCAGAACACCTCGGGACCGGGTGGTGTTCAAAGTAGTGGAAAGATGGATGAATTTCTGTGCATGCGCATTGCAAAGAGCACAATATTGGTAAACGGCAACAAATTTTGCCATGGGGTCTGAGAACCTAATGAAAGCTTGTTGAACAAAATTAATTATGCAGCAATGAGCATGGGCAATTTCATGATAATTTTCAGCGAATATCGCTTGTTTAGTTTTAGTGCGCCAGAGCTGGCTTTAGCCAAAGTGGTAGTTTTTTAAATGATGGAGGATAGACACAAAAGCTGTGTGTGTGCGTTGATCCAGTCATACTGGTTAGTTTGTAGTTTGTAGTGGTTTTGAAGAGAAGACGCGAGAGAGTCTCTGAGTATCCTTATCAGAGAGAGTCTGGCGATGATTCTGACCACCTGCTGTGCAGGCTTGGTGACGCCGTGATCTCAGAAACTGGTCCACGTCTTGTGGAGTTCTCAGTGAGGGAGGAGTGGCGGATGGGTCACAAGTGGCATCGCCGCCACTAGCGTCTCTCTCTTGGAAGTGAGGTGGTGTGGAGAGAGTGTGGAAGAGGGACCGAGGTGGTGGTCGAGCCAGGGCCGAGGCTCGCAGGGATCTCATGGCTCGCTCCAGCTCTAGTGGGGGCATGAAGAAATTGGGCAGAGCCACTTCCGGCACTCCAGCACTGGAGGAAGCACACATCAATGGGGTCAAGGTAACACCTAGATTACACACCCCACACAAGACTTCGCTCTATATGGTATATTATAAGGCCCAAACTTTGCATGGAAGAAAGTCAGAAAGTGAAAGTGGACATGCGCAGACAACAAATATTAGGTTTATTGTGCTAGAGGATGTTTACCTTGGTTTTATAATTGGTGCCATTGGTTGTTGCTGTGGTTCAGTAACAGGAGACAGTCTGTGAGGTTCGGCAGTGTTTTCCACATCAAGCGACCCAGTTTCACCACTAGAGTTGGCGCGAGGACTTTCAACTGGTGGAATTTCTACTGTTCTTTCATTCTCTGTCTTCTCTGTCCTTTCCAAAAACAGTTGATTCAAAGTGGGTGTAACAGTTGTGGTTTCCTGGGGTTCATCACCACCGTGACTTGCCTCAGGAGCAGCATGTGGGGTCATCGATAATGTGTCATCTTCATCACTGCAGCTACTGATATCAGACTGTGGAGAATTTGTCTCACTTGTCTCCAGACTATTCCCAGCTGAGATGAGCTCCAGTGACATTGTACCGTCAACTTCTACACTCATAGAGTTACCAACAGAACTGACCATTTGATGACGGGTATTAGTGTGTGCTTCATGTGAAGTATAGAGTGTGTCCTGAGCTGATGAAGTAGGGAGTGTGTCCTGAGCTGATGAAGTAGGGAGTGTGTCCTTAGCTGATGAAGTAGGGAGTGTGTCCTTAGCTGATGAAGTAGGGTGTGTGCCCTGAGCTGAGGTAGTGGTTAATGGAGAGGCAGATATTTCCAAAGTCGTTTGAGATATTTCACCACTGGCCACCTCAGATGGACTTTCCCCAGGGGAGGATAATGTACTGTAAGACTCACTGCCTGATTCAGGCTCAGCTGCAGCAACTAGAACAACAGGGTGTCCATCTCTTTCCTCTCCTGCATATTCCTTGAGAGTGTCCCCGAGTTGCCCGACTGAGGGAGAGTGTTGCTCGAGGCTGGGGCCAGAGGAGCTGTAGCTGACAGACAGAGAGACCTGCTGACTGGTTGTAATACCACTACAACCACCATTTCCCTCAGTCAATACTGGGAGACAGTGAGTATGGAGTGATGGTTGGCTACAGATATTTGGAGCCCCTGCAAACAAAAAGAGCAGGAATAAAAGTTTCAAATGTCTTTGACTCCGAGTATGAAAGCACACTGTTAACACGTGAGGTTCACCTATCATAAAATCGTGTTACACCAAAACACCTATGCATCTATATGTACGTATATAGATGGAGCAACTGTAGATGTTACACTGAATGTGCCCTACTGTATGCTAAAACATTGTAATGTGAACCTATTCAACTAAAACATTGAAGACTTCTGCACAATGCAGTTACACTGAATGTGCCCACTGAGCTAACTATATACCAATGTTGCGTTCCCCAAGCAGAGCTGATCTGGTCCAGTTCATTCAGGTCATCTCTCAGTTTCCTGAGCAGAACAGAAGACGACTTCTCCAGGAAGCTGGGGGCAGGCTGAATGGAGTGGTGACCGGAGGAGTTCTGAACCAGTGGATCACTGGAGAGCTGAGTTGAAATGGTAGAGTGGCCTGACAGCACCAACTGTTGTATGACACATACAGAGTGTTAAAACAAGGGGCCATAGAGGTTTGTATGTACATAGGTGACTAACGTGAGTTGGTGGAAGAGAGCGAGTCGACTTTGACTGAGAACTCCATCCTGGAGACGGCACTACACTCACCTGCAAGTATAATACCATAATACCAACACTTTGAACTACGTACTTGGAAATACAATACATATATTTAGAAACTGTTACTGGAAATGGAAACGTAATCCACTGGGCCCTATCAATTTTAGCCCTTATGTATATACTGCCATGTTCCATTTAAAAATCAACAGGCAATCAATGTCTGATTTCTAGGAGAGAATATATACACACACAGTTTGTCTGTCAAACCTTCAGCTGTCCCTGTATCTGTCCACCAAAGTCGGAGATGTTGTACCAGCCAGACACCTGGGGGAGACCCAGGGCCAGCGTACTGAGGTCCACGTGAGCACATCCAATGTACACGTCCTCCGGCTGACCCTCTGGTGATTGATCAGAGGCATTTGCTTGACTCCACACTTGCAACTCCAGACCCACACACTGTAGAATAGTATTCATCACCATATTTTCTGTATTGGCTAGTGAAGTAAAGCAGATCTAATCTGTGCGAACAGATACATAGTCCCGTCACTATACCGTGTTCTATGTATGTATTCCAAATACTCGTAAAATTGCTGCTGAACTTGCACTTGCATTGATTCCTCAAAAATTCTTTTTCTATGCATAGTCGTCTTACTACTATGCACACTTATTGTCGGTTACAACATGAGGCAATCACGCATACAGTAGTATCACGTATCGCTAACCAAGTCACCATTTTAGAACTGATTATTAACTGTTATACAACGCACACACGTACGTGAGGGTCAAGGTAGAGATTGGGGATGTGGGTGAGAGTGTGGTGGTTCCAGAGAGGTGTCTGGGAGCTGGGCACAGCTCCAGTGGCTATCCTCTCCACCTTGGGGTGGGGGTGGAGGCTCACATATGCATTCGGAGCCCACTCCCTCTCCCTGTGCAGTAAGACAACAACATACACAACACTGTACACCTCTTGGAACATTTCTAGAGTCACACTATAATAATAGCGGGAACATTTTGACGGTGGAAATTTCAACGATGACAGAGTGTGTAACAATGTGCACATACACTCTTCCTCTACCTTAAATGAAAATCTGCGTGCCCTATGAAAAAAGCGAGTCACACAGGACACATCAGAAAATCTTCCAATAGGAAAAATTGTGGGACTTTACGTATATCCTTATCTATCTCTATCTATTTCGTTGTCCCTTCACCCCCTTTACCCCTACCAATAAGGTTTGAATGGTTTCGCATTTTTTGTACGCACATGAGTAAACGAAATGACAAACCAACCATCCCTAGTACATTGACTATAGTTGGAGAGTGTACTAACGTTTGTGTTCAGAAGTATGTACATAGGTTTCTAGTTGGGATTAGAGGGAGTGAGGTAATGTACTACTCACTGAGTCTTGTCAGTCATCATGGGGAGGTGGAGGGCCTCGTGTATCACCAACCGAGCTTCAAACATGTCTTCAAACTTCTCATCTTCTTTCTCTACTCCTTCTTTGCCCCTCTCCTCCTCCTCCTCCTCCTCCTCCCCCTCGCTGACTGGCTCGAGAGGGACAAAGTCAACCTCACAACCTCCACTGTCATCACACACATCCTGTGGACATGCATCAGAAATCACTCCAATTGACGTGCATTCTGTTTTCAGCACGAAAATCATTAGGTGTCAATGCAAGGCAAGTGCATATCAAACAATTCAACTCTAGCACAAGACTTTGAAAAGGAGCTGTCCTACAGGTGGGACTCGAACCTGCTTGCACGGATTCCACAAGGCTGAGAAACTTGTGGGCACTTAGTGCACAGTAAACACATTTTCACACATATGCCATTGTGCTTTTAAAGTTACCGTCCTTTAGACTACGCATGAATTCAGTGTGTGTCACATTATACCAGTATTTCCAGAAGTGTCGGTTGTGGTGAGCAGAGGTTACCTCAACCAGAGACTCTCCACCTCAACAGTCACCCTCTGACCACTCAGACTGTCTTCTCCCGCCTTGAACATTGGACAACTTCCACTGGCCATCAGGAGAGAAAGAGGTGGGGAAGGAATGCATAGAATCAACAGAGAAAAAATTACCCAATGAAACAACACCTGCAGCTATGCATGTATACAGTTGAGTCTGATATCACCTGACAGAGTCGCTGGATAGGAGTCCTCGTAGAGAGAGGAATGCAGTTCCCAGGAGAGTGTCTTCTGACTCGGCAGTCTCCCCTTCTCTCCCTCCTCTCCTCCTCTGGTGGTTGTGGTCTGATCTCCTGTGATGGTGACGTTCTTTCTGGTGGTGGTGGTGGTGTTTGCTGGGGGAGCTCCACACCTCCACCTCCAGACTCTCCTCACTGACATACCTGCAGACAGACACAGAGTGAGAGACCCAAACAGTGTGGACTGGTGAAAGATGCAGTGGCGAGTCAACTGAGCCTATCTCCGTCTATGCTAAACTGTCAAATGACAGTTCATCGCAGAGACCCTTCGATTTTAGTGAGCAAAGGGTATACCCACCTAGTCATCTGTATTACCAAACGACAATGTGCTGTCACACTCAACAAAGTGGATGAACCAACACCGAATCAAAGCTCTAATGAATGCTTGCTCTCTATCAGTCACTAAAAAGTGTATTGTGGTTGATTCCTCTCTAGGTCATAAATACCATTCCAGATCATGTGAGCCGGAGACTGTCACAGTGGAGTGGTGGTTCAGCTGGTAACAACCTCTGCCGTCTCTGGAGTAGCTCAGAGCTCTCGGAACAGACACCACCACCTCTGACACACAAAACAACTACATACATTACCTAGTATACTTCATAATATAGACATGCACGATTTTTGCCTATTGCTAGCGTGCACAACCAAAATGTTAGAGTGTACAACTGTACCAGGCAAAAGGACTTAGAAAAATACACACATAGGGTTTGGCTTTTCCCCTGGTGTGTGGACTATAAACAGTGTGAATAGCACGGTATGTAGGTAACCGTAATACAATTGTACACTAAAAGTAATGTTACAGCAGTTTTATAAAGATTGTAAACTAGTTTTCGAGCGGGTCCTCACCTGAATCAAAGAACCGGTACCTCAGGAAGCAGTACATGTAGGGGGCAGGGTCCTCTGACATGTCTATAGTGACTGCCTCCATCGGAACACACAGTTCCGTGACCTTCACCGAGAACTTCCAACAAGTCTTTGAGTCCTTTATGTCCGCCTCCTCCATCTCGCTCCTCTCTCTTACTGGTAGACCACCTTCCAGACTCATTCTGCTACCCTGTGGTGGCACCCAGCCCATCTCTACACCTCGAGACAGGACCAGTTCTCTGTCCTCGTCGCCGGAGAAGGAAAAGGAGACCTCGATTCCACCGACGTGACACGGAGCACCGGTATCGGGTGGGAGCTCCTCGGGAGGAGGCGTGGCATTGGATTTCGGTGCCGGTGAGTACAGCGGGAACCATCCACTCACTCCTGGAGATGTTAAAAGAAACGTTTTGTTTCATGAGTACCATATGTGAAAGGTACTCTTTGGTGGGCAGTGAACTATTGTAGAGAGGGGCAAACAATATCTCTAGCATTTTCTTCTGGTTACAAGGCGAGATAAGGCAACTTAACTGTATCCAAGAATAGTTACTCAAAGTGAACATAATCTGCGTATATACATACAGCTACTTGACATGATTGCTACTGGCCATATCTCCACTACCTACTATATAAAACTCACCTGTCTGCCTTTCCAGAAGTGAGACGAGAGGCACCACTGTCTGAGCGAGACACACGTCCCTGAAGACGGGGGCCAGACTCCGACCAAACACGGCTCTCGGGGCAGTGGGGACAGGTCCAGAGTGGGTCCTGGGGACTTTGTGCCACACCTCCACCACACCACTGCTCTGCCCCAGCCTCTGGGCCAGCGGGACACTCGCCACGTGTGACGGAGAGACGGTCTCACGAGAGACCAGCGGGAGAGCAAACTCGAGGGTGTGGGAAAATTCGGGAGAAAACGACCGCATCACTGTCTTTGTGCACCTCCCTTCCTGTAGGAAGAGCAATTATGCTTAATAAGGTGTATTGTACCTGTCAGATTGCACAAAAACTTCACTAGGCAAAAGTTACTGATATCTGTATTGGCAGACAGACTAACCTTCTCTATGAGGCCCGGGAGAGAGATCTTGGCGTAGCAGTTGGTGCCCACCTCGGCAGCAAACCCCAGTGGAACTGGCTGCTCCTGAGCCACCAGAGAGGCAGCATCTCTGAGACCAGTTGCTCGCACCACCTCCACCCTGAGAGAGACGTGGGTCCTCTCTCTCTCGCCAGAGACCGCCACTGGCTGGTGGAGTCTCTCTCCTCCCTGGACCTGGTACTGCAGGGTCACCTCCAGAATACCTCCTGAGCCACACTGTAGTCCAGAGCATTAAAGATTCCTCTAATTATCAATGTGCCGTATATTGTACACCCAGTGTTGAACATGGTAACCCCCCACACATGTACATGCATGCTGTGAATGTTTACATGTACACAGAGTGTGTACACAAGAGAACACAAGAATGGCACACAGAACTACGCATACGTACATGTTACACAAACACCTGTATTTCCTTGTCCACCAGAGTCATTGGTAGTGAGAATGACTGGACGGTGGGACCACTGATCCTCTGCATACTCACTAGGGCACACAGTTTGGCCACTGCCAGACTTGCCTGCAGTGAGTACAACACATTAATACATGCAAGATTGTCAAAATGGCCTCCGAGTGCAGTGGTTCAAATTGCCGGATTTTCTATAGTTTATCCACATAACATACATACTTTGCGCAGTTAGCTACATACACCATGCTTTACAAACACATCTCAACGTTTAAAATTGCACACTTGCTAGCTTTCGCTCGCCTACGTGTTGTATTTTATTATGGCTTAGGTCCAGAAGTAATGTCGTCTTGCAACCCGGATTAAGTCATGCAAGATGTCGGTCTCCCTCCATACATTTTCCTTGTTAAAACCTTCGGGTGTGCATATGTACGTGCTTGCCTTGGCAATGAGCTGGTCCCTGATGTTGGGATAGTAGAACCTCCTCCACAGCTGAAACTCCACTCCACCACTGGCCCCACACCTCTTCAGTATCTCTCTCTGGACCAGGTGGCCGCGAGGGAGTGGGAGAGAGTGGCTGGTCTCGTGAGAGAAGGCGGGGTTTGGGACACACAGCGTCATGTCCGTCCGCACCAACTGGAGCGATACTTCAGGCCCTGAATCCACTCTATCCCTCTCGTCTCCCCCTCCCTCTCTGCTGTGTGGTTGTTTGGTGAGACTGGGGAAGTGGTACTCAACAAAGCAGTCTGCCTCTCCCCACACGGTGTTGCTGAACACTGACAACCCACGCACACCGCTCACCGTCACTGTAAATGTATGGTGTATAGGACCTGCAAAAGCAATGATGGAACCTCAGTCTGTTAATGACGTGAAATGCCAGCTACACTTCGAACCACCCTGAATTCCATAGAGCTATTGCTGAAAGAGTTACGAAATCTCCTTGTTACTGGCAATTGAGTAATGTGTATTACCATAGTATAAATTACATACTCATAACACTGTAGTATACCTGAGCTTTTCTCGCAATCACTTTCTTCCCTCGGTCTGCCAATCTGATGGACAACTGGCAGTTCACTGCAGTGATAAGATCGGGTAGAGCAAAGATCACACTCATTATTACTACTATAGTGAAAGGCATACGTAGCTCACTGAGTGGGTGCGGCAACGTCTGGGCCTTGCTGAACGGTCTGTGGAGTTTGTAGTTTCCGGCAGCAAACTGTTGCTGTATCTCTGTTACCTGTACACGTCATACACTCAGTGAAAACTATCCTCCATGTTCACATACCACACCCTCTGCGCAGACATACTCACAAACCCAATTACTACGCTGCGTATGCACGCCGAGAGTTAATTATACGTAAGGTCATCAAAGCATACCTGTTGCGCCGATCCCATTGCTAGTAGAACTGCGAGGTGCCCCTGTTCGTTACCAGTAAACGGACTGATCACAGGGCAGTAGCTGTCAACTGCCACAACTGGGAGCTGCACATTAGCCAAAGCAGTAGGAAAAATCACATTGATGGCTGTTGATTAATCACAACATTCTATTATGGGGTGTGTGTGATAATACACAGTACACTGTATTAAGAAATGTGCTCTCAGTGGTCAGTGACATTAGGATTGGTGATGGGTTAATTATATTATATAAAAAAATTGTGTTTTGCTTGTTGCAACTTATGCATGTGAGCAGTTAGCGGAGGGTGGGCTATAAATAGAACATTTTGCAAGTCCATTAATAGCCTCAAACTGTGGAAGAACTCACAATTTGCAATAATTAGGCCTACAGTACTAGATGAGTTGTGATATGAACTAACTTGAGCATGAAGACAGAGGGAGGCAGAGGAGTCCTCGGAGAAGGCCAGGTAGAACTGGTGCAGGGACAGTTTCACCAGACCCAGCAACTGCAGACACAAATGAAACCTAATGCTATACAACACATGTATACGTATCTACACTATACTGTTCCATGATAGGCCATGTGTCTATTGTACCTCATCGTTTGTGTTGACTCCTGGTGTCTTATGCCACACCTCCACCACTGTAAAGTTATTGCACACTTGGTCCAGAAGCGAGGGAGTGAGATAGAGTGGAAACACCTAACAACAGAATGACCATATTCCACACACGCTTCAAACAAACACCTAACAACAGAATGACCATATTCGCACACGCTTAACAATCTTAGGGCTAGGTGTAACCCTGTCTCCTTCCCTAAAAGTTGGGGCATAAGGAGATTTGACCTGCTTGAAGTTGAACTGGGGGCGACTCGAGGCCCAGATGGTGGGTGTTTTAGGGTGTGGGCTGGTACAAAACAGCCGACAGACGAGGTAGCAGTTGGGGGCTAGATCTCTGGGGGAAGAGGGAGACGTGGGTGGTGGTGACTGACGTGGCAGAGTCGTGTCAGTGGCCTCTGGTACCATCAGGAGCAGTTGTAGTGCCCGTGAGGACACCCTGTCGATATCTGTGGCAGTATAATGCTGGTTAGAGTAAAGATTTCCTTAAACTCAAGATGTGTGTCGACTCAGATTGAGTAGTATTGAAGGAGGGTGGGGGGCTGAATGACAACTTGAAACATGTTTACTCTCAAAAATCCATACACTGCATGTAGGTACACACCAATGTACATGTATTTTCTAAGCATTGTATAAACTTCAGTAATTAGGATGGGGGAAGCATAAAAAACCCTGCTTTCACTGAAATTGCATCCCCTTGCCTTTTGCAGAAACTGTCTGTGATTCTGTTACTCTAATTGGAGGGGCGGCACCCAATATTTCACTTTCTCTCTCCCTCGCTGCTGAGGTTTCTCTAGCTGTGTCTTTCTCTCTCTCGCTTCCTCTGTCAACCTCTGGCTCTCTGGCCACTGTAGGAGGCTCTGCACTGAGAACCTCACGATCAGCTCCCTTTCCACACAGCAACTGCAGACACACCTATACAGAGAATACTACTACATACCTATTATATAAAGAGCTAAGTAAACTGATGTGTACATGTAGATCATGCCATGGGGAAAACTAAGCATATGTCCAGAGTTAGACTCAAATTGCAACCGGAAGTCCACTGCTCTATACACGCACTGAGCTACAACTTCTATACAAACAAAATCCTCATTGTTTCCTCCGGTCAACTGTAATATTATGTGCTATGTATGTATACATTTCACTGCAGCTATTGGGCCAAGCAAAAGAGATAACTTTCTTACCGTTAGCTTCCCAATAATATCTTCATCGGCGTCAGCTCTATCACCATCCTCATCTCTCTTTGCCCCCAGACCCGAGGTGGTAACAAGAGCCACCACGGTAGATGAAGCTCCAGCCATCAGCCACTGACGAAACGGCACCCTCGCCTTCCCAACCAGACACGGCTGGAACAAAACACCACATTACATGTAGTAACACTCTTCCTATACTACTGACGCAAAAGTCTACAGTAGTGAATTTGTGCAAAAGCGATAGAGCGAGCGTAGCAAGCATACCTGGTCATTTGACCATTAAAAATGCCATGTAGAAAAATCATATGTCACTTCCATGTGTGCATTTCATGTTTTGCTTGTCAAAATGGTATAAAAAAAGGTGCAAAAAACTAGCAGAGGATGGTTTCGATCCATCGACCTCTGGGTTATGGGCCCAGCACGCTCCCACTGCGCCACTCTGCTGACCTGCTCAGCCACCACCACTATAACCGTACAGTGTACTAACACGTACAGCTCTATCCGTAGGAGGTCGATAGTACACGTTGAAGATGAGAACATCGTGCCACCACTGTCTGGTCACAGGACCAGCGAGACTCACTGCAAACACCGAGCGATGCCCAAAACGAACAACTGCATTGGAGAAACAACTGCCTGCCTATATTATGCACATAAAATATAGTATACAATTATACATACATAACTGCATAATAAGTTATACTGGAAACACAAATTTGCCGATTTCAGTGAGGTTTGGGAATGCGTAAGTTTTCTCTGTGAATTTTCATTTCTTGCCAAAAGTTTCTCTTTATAGTCTCCCCATAATGTGGTATGGTATCACGGGGTGCAAACAGAGGGTACACATGGAAATACATAGATGATGAATACTTACGTAACTAGGCCACACCTTTATTCTTTATCTTCCTGGAGGCCACTCTCACGACCTCGTGTGGAGGGGGGAACACTCCTCCTCCCTTTCTCCCTCTCCCTCCTCGACTAGATACTGCCTGCAGGGAAATGGTACTCCACGAAGAACGTCCCGCTGTATGAGTACATACATACATACATACATACATACACATATAAACAGAATTGCTGTAAACATAAATGTGAGATCAAAGCATGAAAGCGAATGGTAAACAGAATTGCCGTGGTCTTCAAATGTGAAATTCAAGCATCAAAGAAATAATGGTAAAACAGTCTAGTTGGCAAAAGAAAAACAGTGACCAAAATAGAGGACAGAAGTTTCATTTTCATGCAGGGCAGATCAAAATAATGTTTCCCTCGTGTATCGTTCGCTATCCATAAACCTTTCATAGTGATTCATGCGATATATTCAGGGAATAATCCATCTATAAACACCATATATACTACCACATTTCCAGGAGCCTCTAAATACCATACCAGACCTGAGGGAAGTATAGAGGGGCCCAGATTGGTACTGTCTCTTCTTCCCACTGGGTACCAGGACGGCGGCCATTTTGATCCCACTGGGTCCAAGGACGGCGGCCATTTTGAGAGGGTCTACCTCAAGAATATCTATCACCACGCGGCACGAGTGACTCTGCCAATAGTGTCACAGTCTCTCCACTCCACAGCCTGCATGGGGTGTCATACATTGATACTGGCTACTGGCGGCGGTTCATACATGACACTGGCTCACTGGCTACACGGCTCAGTCTGACGCAGGTGTCCATGCAGACATTGATACTGGCTCACGTGGCGACAGCTCAGTCTACACATGGTGTCCACGCATGTACATTGTACCAACACATGAAGCACTAAACACTCAACCTTTTACCTAAATAGTGGGAGACAAATCAGGACTGTCAGTATAAGAGCATATCCACAGTTTGACCTGTTGCCTATCAGAAGCGATTGTATGTCACGTAACGAGCTTGCTGCAGGATTTCAGCAATCAGTTGACCGGAAGTGCGAGGAGAGAGTCCGGCAACGTGCCCGGCAGAAGAGAGCGACGCAGTGACAGAGAAAGATAGGGAAAGGGCCCGGGACCTCGAGTGAGACAGGACTACAGAACGCACGACAGAGACGTTGAAGGCGTGGATAGAGCGAAGGATGAGAGGGGAGGAGAGCCGGCACCTCGGGCGGGGCGCGAGGGAGCGTGTAGCTTTTTCCGCGTACGCGGTAGACGCGAGTGGGACGCGCACGATGCAGACTGAGGTTTCTAGAGCGTCGACGTGCGGAAAAATGGGGAAAAGTTGCTGTCTGTAGTGTAGGAGAGTGTGTTTGGTTCCAAAATCTTGAGTTGTACGCCTCTGTTTCAACATCTCTCTACAACAACAGCGTACACATGGGAAGGATTAGGTGATGCATTAGTGTCAGGCAAAACACACAAGTGCAACTTTCGTGGAGCATTTACGAGTCCCCATCAAATTGTGGTTCAAGCGTCGACCTTGCTCGCTAAAAGGTACCCTCAGTTAAGATAATTGTGCTATAATACACACTTGGGAGTTTAGCTCAAACTATGCGCAGTTTCTCAAGTCAGATGGAAGGATTTCGCATAGGGGGGGTAATTGATTCCTCCATGATAAATATCCATACTCCCCTCTTTTCATCCTCACTGTGTACACCTTTAAAAAAACTCCACACAGAGGAACACGCCCCCTTGGCCCACCTCTCTCCCTCCCGTTCTTCTTCTCGTAAGATTCGAGCGAGTCTACAGAGCTCTCGCATGGCCTCTCGAAGTCTCTTCCTCTCTCTAGCAATTCAGCACATAACTTCCTGTTGTTGTGGACCCTAGAGGAGTGCTACAGCAGAACCCAATCTCTCCATAAACTGAATGGCCCGTGTGCTCCCACGCCGGTGGAGAACACAGTCATTTGTTTATGCCAGTAAGCTGTGTCTTTCGCGTGTTAGGGTTTTATGTACTTGGAAAGGCAGAGCTGCTTTGTGGATTGTGGCGCAGATTAAGTGTATGTCTTCGGAGACGGCGGACGAATTGTCCGGGCTTCGAGATGAGAACCGCGAGATTTCCATGTTAGTGTTGCGACTACTTGTGCCTAGTTGATATTTGAGGAACGGTAGTGTGTCTATTTCTGAAATAGGTTATTATCGTGTTTTCAGTAGGAGCGCTTTGTGAGCGTGCGGGTCCAATTGTAACTCTGTGAGGGTGGGAGGGACGACGTCTCGATGAGGCTCAGAATCGAGGCGGTCAGTTAGAAGGGTTTTGTAACATATGACAGGCTCTGGCGAGGCCGTGTTCGCGCCGGATGTTATAATCAGAGCCAGTTCGTTGAGCTCATCGCGCCCCCGTAACTACGCCCGGGTGGCGCCATGCGGCGAGTGTGGGTGCAACTAATGGCGCCATGGGCCATTGCGAGCTACAGGGGCGAACGACATAGCAACACGACCCCTAGCCCGGTGACTGAGGGCGGAGGCCCCGCAATTTGCACGCTACTTGGCACTTATCTTCCACTCTGCTTTTCATGAAAAACAGGCAACTAAGCGACAAACTAATTGCAACGAGAGTAAGTGGAGTTGATGAACTCCGGGATGAGGTATTTTTACACCTAAAACATTGTGCGCCGGTAACGAGGGTCACCCTCCAAACTCGCGAGATCAGGGCACAGAAAGAGAGGGTATTATTCGGTTCCAGAGCATGTGTGGATTACCGGTGATTTTTTGGTTTTTTGTGGGTGTATGCCTGGATTATAGGTAACTGCTCTGAGGCTCTGAACAGCACCTCTTCTTGTAACAAGCGCCTAAGACAACCCTCATCTGAACGCTTGCTTCCCCCTGAAGGATTATACTCATGTTATGTAATAGAAAGCACCCTGCGACTAGTAAGCATAAGCTACCCTCCGTTTGCGCGGCGAATCAACC